TATATAAAAGCGTTATGTATGTAGAGCACTTTGTATACGCGCGGAGGCGTCGGAGAGTTTTGAACCAAGTCACCTCCGGGCGTATACATAACCGACGAATTGTATATTATATCCTTCGCGTGAGAGGAGATGGAAGAAAGCAGGAGAAAACATGACGGTGTATAAAATTGCTGTGATTTTATCCACGGGAAGGCACCCGGGCGTGTTTTTACTAAGGAGAATCGGTCTCGGATAGTGAGTACAATGCACGGTATGTGCGATTGCGAATGTTTCTTCGCCGATATTTCGGCATCGCAGGAATGAGCTGTGTATGTGAATGAGAGAGAGAGAGAGAGAGAGAAAGAATAATTGAACGCGTATGTACGACGCTCACCCGATACGTAACGCTCGCCCGCTCTGGCAATAATAATCGAGTTCGCTCGATTAATCACGCGTCTGCTTCGTGCTCGCGGCATCGAGATCTGTTCAATTACTGTTACTTGACGAACCGATACGCTCGCGTTAATAATGAGAACGAGATCCGCGTTGTCGACAGATTATTACGAGTGCGCGATTTCAATTTTTTCCCCATGAAATTCAAATTGGACTTAACATGAATATTTTTATCGATTTTTGTCGGGTGCGTAGGAATGAGAGTTTGTGCGTGAAAGAGTGTGTATGTGTATGCATGAGTGGCGTGCGATGTAACGCATGAAAGATAGAATGGCTAATGAAGAAGGGAGAAGGGATGAGAGAGAACCTATCGTGTATGTTCGGCGTCGAACGAGAAAAGGCTCTGTTGTACGTAGCAATTATAGAAACCATGTCTGTGATTATACTAAGAATAGAGCGACAATATAAGCAATTTCCGTATGTAACGACCTAAACATGAGCGGCGTGTGCGCTTACTATACATACCGGTATGTAAATGATACATATATATGTATTACATATACACGTGCGAGAATTTTATCCGTAAATATTGCGCGCTTTCCGCGTTTTTAATTGGGTCGTCACTTCGGAGTCATCGGAAGAGTCACGTCTTTGTTATTCCGACTGGTCGACACGTTCGTCCTTCGTTTTTTTTTCCTTTTCTTTTAAGAAGCGTCACATTGTAAGAAATCACAAAGATTAATTTCGCGAGAACATTATCACATTATCGGAAATAAACTGCAAATTCGCTTTAAGCGTCGGAGCTTAAGACGACTCGTTTAAAATCGCTGAATGTGCTCGCAAACAGTGGAAGGACGAAATCAATCTCATCTCGCATAATAAACTCCTCGGTCCTCTTTGACGTCATGCGCCCAAATAATCGGATCGTAATATGTATGCGCCAGTACTATGTGCATTTATTAACACCGTAGTAAATCGATTAAAAAAAAAAAAATACTCTTGTTATTACGAACTATGACGTATGACGTCAGAACGAGGGATTCTATAGAGGACAAAAGTGGAATAGAGATGATCGTTTTTCTTCATTTTTTTTTTTGACATATCGGGGAAATACACTACGATCGTCCATATCGGCGGTTGTAAAAACACCAGCGATCTCGAATATATAATCTGTCGAAAGTAGTGCGGGACGAGGCTGGAGAGAAAGTGTGAGAGCCAAGCGGCGAGATCTCCGTTGTGTTGTCCTTCGTCGATTATTTTACTGCTGACTGCTAACAAGATACACGTTCCTTTCCTTTTGTTTTTGATTTCCACTGAGAAACGTGGGTTCAAGAAGGGCACGCTCGTCTGCGAGAATTATTCTGTACATCTCTACGTTATTCATCCGTTTCCGCAAACACACATAAAAAAACTATAACGTAAATACCGACAAATGCTAAGGGAGGGCGACAGAGAACAAGAGAGAGAATAAAAAATGCGTCAGAATGAAAAGCGATGAGGAGGTAAGAGAGAAAGAGGGATGGGCGAAAGAGGAGAAAATGCATATACACATTTATTTCGCGAATAAATTGTAATTATATATATATGCGCATATATTATACATAATTATATACATATATATATATATATACACACACACACC